TATCAAAGAATTTCAACAAAGTCTTGCATAATGGTCTTCTCTAATTTAAATTTAATTTATTTATAATAAATTAAAATTTAAACGTTTCATAAGTTCAAAGAACTTAAGTTATATGGTGGTATACCTAAAGCCAATATGCGTAACCCTTGCTCTGTGACAAGACCATTAGGTCTTTTTGGGGCACCTAGATAAAAATAAAAAAAAAGAAAAAAACAAAAAAAAAAGAAAAAAACAAGTTGTCATGAAGTTATTAAGATCAAGCGCATTTCCAAGGACATTATAACTGTGTAGTTACATAATAACTGTGTAGTTAAATTTTGAACTAACTTACTTTACTTTCGGTTTTCCTGCGGAGAAAAAGGGCTTTTTTAGAAAAGAATACATTCGAGAAGATTATTCTTTTTTTTTTTCCATTTTGTTTGTAAACTCTCTCTCCCTAATCAAGAACGTGCGTTGCACTTTCAGAGATGTAGGGTGTTCTAAAGATGTAAAATAGTAAGCCATTAGTACACTTTTAAACTTTAACTCAGCCAATCTTTACACTGTCGTCTCAGTTTTAATTAGTGTCAACACTTAACAAGTAGAAACAGATTGGGCTTCGTTAATGTGGCTTAAAACGTATTTATAGATGGGTATAATCCATTATTCATTAAATTTTAACTCGAAAGTTTTGCAAGACTTTGGGAATTGCTTTTTAAAGATAGTTTAAACATTTTTAAATATATAAAAACAATATATTAGATAAAGATTTTTCTTATTGAAAAAAAAAAAAAATATATATATATATATATATATATATATATATATATATATATATTTAACACATACCAATAAAATACTAAATTAAATAGTAAACTACTTTTAGTTTACTATTTAATTTAGTAGACTATCTTAGTTTGCTATTTAGTTTATTAAAAAAGTTTGCTATTTAGTTTACTATCAAAATAAATAATAACGTCAGCTTCTTCTACAAAAACACAACAATAACTATACCAACAAGTTTGTATCTTTTTTTATAAATAAAGCTAAACACGCCTATAATTTTAAGTTTATAACAAAAAATTTATGCAAACGCTTTATCGCTTATTTACAATGTTTTGCCAGTATTCAATATCCCTTCCGCCAAAAAAATGCCTCACGTTTCTTAATGTAATTTTTACGGACATCTGGTATTTATATATCATTGATAATAATCAATAGCGCATTTAAAAGCATATTCCGTAAAGTACGGCAGACAAATTGAAGATTTCTATAAATTTTCCATAAGCGAAAAAAAAGCAAATTCATATAGGCAGCCGTCAAATTTTCATCTCCATTTTCAACTAACTTAAGAAACCAATTGACCGCAATTCTTACTAAATATTTTTAGATTCATTTGAATTAAAAAAGTAAACCCTTCATTTATTTACATATTTAACAGAGCCCACAGCACGGGTTTCGAAATGGAGGGACGCAATCGTTAATTTCCCCCCAATATTTCCTTACCTTCCTTTCCGATATCGTCGCCCGGGTTAGTTTTAAAAATCTTAAGCTATAATTTGTATTATATTCATTGCGCAACAAAAAGTTTTTTATCTTTTGCTATATTTTGTATATATTTTTTATATAAAATAATATATATTTTATATAAAGATGAAAAAAAAAATAGCGATATAATTTATTTTCAATAAACCTTTTTGTTAAACGCAAATCGGAACAGTATTTCGGAATGTAGGGGTTACAATCTAAAACTAGGTGGCCATAGCCACATTGGACCCCCTTAAATCCGCGCCTGAAGATATAATAATAAAACAAAAGTTCTTTTAAAATCATTTAGGCTAAAAGATACAAAGATTTTAACGATGATTGCTCTCATGGGACTGTTATTATATCTTTATTATTTTAAATAGCAAAATTTTTAATTGTGGCAATAACCAATAAAACAACCGAAACAAAATATTTTGAAATTTTTGATAAGACTCTTTCTGAACTGTAACAACGACAAAAATATTTTGAAAACATTTTATCAATTCTAATTAATGAAAATGTTTTCAAAATGAATTACAAAGGGGTCATTTAATCAAAATGATTAAATGACCCCTCCTTAACTCCAATTATGACTCTTAGCACTTTGTTCGGATTTTAAAAAACTCTTTTATTGGTACAAGACAAATACTCTTGAATAAAAAAATGAATGATACAACATACAGCCTGGCGGTTTCTTTGGTCATTAACGCATGGCGTAGTACACTTTATTAATAAAGCCAACTTGAGTAATTCAAAAGCCGCGGCCCTAATGGATAACATTTTTAAAAATAATTCTATAAAATTTAAGATTCAAAGCGGAATAAAAAAATCTGATCACTTCTAATACTTCTCTAACTTAACTATTTCAGCAACAAAAAAGAAAACAAAAACAACAATTATAACAAAAAGGCAAATAAATAAAGAAAATGTAACAATGTTCCGAAGCGGCTTATCAAAAAAAAAACTGGGATCAGATAGTTAATTGCGAAAATTACAGCTTACGATCTTTTTAAACACACTTTAACAAGTTTGTTCGAAAAACAAGTTCGTTCGAAAAACAAGTTCGTTCGAAAAACAAGTTTGTTCGAAAAAGCGTTTCCGAACCTTGAATACTAAACTCAAAAACTTATTAGTCTTTAGACGACAAAAGTCTTTAATAAATCTTCTAAAAAAAAACTATATTTGTAAAAAAGACAAAAACAAAACAATATATAAACAATAAAAAATTTATTTGCAGAAGCGATTCTACGAAAAAAATGAGGGGATTGGGGGAGTTTTTTATATATAAGAATCCGACTGATTCTTATATATAAAAAAAAGATCCTCAAAACTAAAATTCACCTTGTGTCAAATGTCCGGCTAGCCGAATATTTTCCTCAAAAAACTGACTATAACTTGAAAATCGTCTTTTATTGGGAGAAAGAGGGGGTGGGACACACCCCCGTAAAATCGTCTCTGTCTATTTGAAAAATTAAAAAAACATTTAAAAAAACTATTATTGTAATTTATTAGAAAATCGTAACACCAAAAAATCATGGTGCGTAATAAAAGAGGTATCAGGGGGAAAAAAAGATGTAGCTAAAGCGCGGTAGTGGTAGAATAAAAGAGAATTTTTTTTATTTTTATTTTTGCAGACTGTAAATTGAATGTTAAAATAGTTCTCGTTTTAATTTCTTAACGTGGCTAGGTAATAAATTTTTATGCCTTAAATTTTTATGTTGTAGAAACCTGGCCAAGTTTATTTTAAATGACGAAATAGATGAGTAAATAAAATAAGATTTTAACAACTTTATAAACCTAGTGAAGTATAAGAATATTAATATATGAGTCTCTCAATGCACACTTCGATTAACTCCGCTTTTTGAAAAATTTTAAATTTAAGTGTCGGTGTATTTGAATTAGTCATAACTTTTCGCATTTTTTATAAATTTCCCAAATAATAAAGTTTATGTACATTAAACTACAATTTTTTTTATACCATAACGGGAATTTCAAAAATCAATGTATATTATTTCTTCGCTTTTCTCCACTTATATTTTTAATATTATTTGTTATAATACATAATATTATATTTATTATAATATATAATACTATATTTATCAGAACAAATAAATTCTGTTAATTTTTTAATGATTCGTTTTGTACAATTGTGCCTTAAATGAAAAATATATTTTTTTTAGCAACAATATTTTTTAAGAAATAATATTTTTTAGCAAAAAAATAACGTTTAAAAGATTTTGTTTTATTTATTTTTTATGACATCATCAGGATTTTAATCTGATTTTCATCAAAAAAATTGAATTTACAAAAGATAATTGCTTCTTGAATTTACAAAAGATAATTGCTTCTTGAGTTTACAATAGATAATTGCTTCTTGAATTTACAAGAGATAATTGCTTCTTGAATTTACAAAAGATAATTGCTTCTTGAGTTTACAAAAGATAATTGCTTCTTGAGTTTACAAGAGATAATTGCTTCTTGAGTATACAAGAGATTATTGTTTATTGAGTATACAAGAGATTATTGTGTTTTGCTTCTTGAGTAAAGAAGAGATAATTGTTTATTGAGTATACAAGAGATTATTGTGTTATACTTACTAAAAAGTTTGACATATTATTCTTTATATTTACTTTTTTTACATCTATTTCTTTTCTTTTGTTTTGTCTTGTTTCATTCAGCCTTACAGGCTCGTAGGCTGTATGAGGCATTGTAGGTTTCGACAAACAAAAATTTCGAACGAAGTATGTTACCAAAAAATTTGTTTCTAGTTACGCAAATGCAAGTTTGAGTTGACTTTAAATTTTATGCCTATTTTAAAAGTATCGAATGTTGTCTACCATAAGGACTTGTAAACAAAATATTTCGTCGGTTTATAATTTATAATCTTTATAAATGATTATTATACGCAAGAAATTAAACATTTATTTAGAAACAAAAGAACTGAATTTATTTGTTTTACATTTCTTATCGTAACTTGTTGTTAATAAATCAATGAAAACGTCATTATGGAGAATTAAGAAAAGGGGGAAAATGTTTGAAACAAAGACAACCACCAACCAAATATCCTTAATTGTAATTTAATCCAAGGTGAAAATAAAACCCAATGTATTAAAGTGTCTGAATTACAACAGGAGGCCTTCAATGAGTGTGAATAACTACATTAGGGTTTTACCATTAAATAAACCACCTCGTCACCCCCTTCACTCGGCCAGAAGAACTTATGCATTAGACATAGCATTAATAAGATTAATCAGCTTTGATTAGATAAAAAGTTTTTAAGTACCAAATGGAGATAAGAAATACTGAAAAGCTTTCCGACTCTCGTACCTCATTCTTCTTTTAATTCATTTATTGTTTTTTTTGTGATGGCTCCGAAAAATTTCTATCAAAATGATCTCATTAAAAATACATACGTAATACTTACATTAGAAGAAAAAAACTATTTTCATCGAATTTAAAATTACTTCTTATTAAAATTATTAAGTATAGCTCGTGAAATTATTCTTTTGCGGCAATTAAAACAATTTTTAAAACTTGGGTGTTTTTTTTATTGCATTTAAAAAGATATCGCTTTTTTAGGTCATTGTTTGATTTTTGTAAACAAAACTTTTACAAAAGATTGTAAAGGTTAAAAAATGTTTTAACTAATCCATTTACTTTGTTCGACTAAATGTTATTTTTTACTCTAACTTATTTCACATAGGCTCCGCGAGTAAGATTCGTTAGTTTGATGTTAATTGATGAGGCGAACAAACTAAAAGAAGTTAGCCGATTTGTGTTTGTTTTGGTACAAAAGCTTGGGAAAAAAAAGGAAACAAATAAAATAAAACTGAGCTCTTCATCTGGTCAAAAGCAACAAATTTTATTATTTTAAAAGACAGAAAAAATATTTTTAGTTGAATTGGTAATATGTCATTATCAAAGTTTTTTAAATCCAAAAACTGAAAGTAGAAGAAACTTAAATTTATTGAATTTTAATTCGAATATTTTTGTGTGCGGGAACCTTTGTTGTGGTAGTCGCTGTTGTCATTTTGTTAATATTTTTATTTTCTTGGAAGTAGTAAAAATAGTAAAAACTTTTTACTTTTTTTTTTTTAAGTTGTATTTTATTTTTTAAATTTTTTTCAAATTTTAATTTAATGCATAAAACGTATTATTAACGCTAACACACAACATATTGACACTAGTACTTATGCATTTGATGTCTCAGCGGCGGAGTCGCAACTGATACAAAATATATTATACAATATATTAGTCAATATATAATTACAAAATTTCATTTGCTTAATTATTTAAAATAACGAAATAATTTAATTTTTAAAAACCTATTGGTTTTCAAGAAAATATTGAGAACTAATGTTAAACAGAGTCGCTAACAACAACAAGATTGTTCAGGTAAGAACAACGGGGTTGTCTTGGGTATTTTTCATTTTTAAGACTTTTCCAATTTAAATTTAAAAATTTGAATATTTTTTAAATAGACAAAATAATAATAACAATAATAATAATAATAATAACAATAATAATAACAACAATGATAGTAATAACAAATTAATTAAAAAACAAGCTAAAGTCTTTTAAATATTTAGATAATACAGTAACATTTTAAATTATATTTTAGGTTATTTAGACATATTTTATTAGAACAACGTTTTATTACCTTCGTCATTTTATTTTTGTAAATAAATTATAAACAACATAAAATAAATAAATTAATGTTATTACTATTTAAGTAAAAAAGGTATTTTAAGCGTTCTTAGGTGACCTGTATGTATTTTAAAGTGTATGACCTGTATGTGAACCTAAAGTGTAAGGCCTGTATGCATTCTGCTAATTTGTTATCCAGAGATCTATGTTTGACCTTATTTGAAACTAAACTTAAAATAATCATGACACACATAAACAATTGATTGCAAATGCTTTTCAGAAAAATGCATAAGAGTTTTTAATAAAAAAAATAACTAGTGTGCATTCGTGTTCATTTTTAGGTCAAGAAATGCTCCATGCTCGTGATATTGTCGATCTAATTTATATCTTGTGCGTCGGATTTTTAATAATATCTGGGAATGCTCTTGTCATTCTTGCGTTTTGGAAAGGTCCTCGCCAAATTCGCACTTTGACTAATTACTTTGTGGTGAACCTTTCCTTTTCAGACTTGATGGTTGGATGCTTCTCCGTGCCTTTTAGAGTTTGCGTTAGGCTAGGTATTACTTTGAAATCTTATTCTCCTATACATACAATGAAGAGTTTTTTTTAATGTAGAAACGTTTATGATTTCATACAATTTCAGGAAAAACAAAGGAGGGAAGCAGAAACTACGAATATTTTATTGCACTGGACGTACTTTGTGGAACAATTTCCGCCTTGTGTTTGACTGCAATTAGTATAGAAAGAACGTTTGCTGTAAAATATCCTGCAATGCATTACAACTTATCAAAAAAACCTGTATTATTTGCTATTGTTATGACGTGGATTATCGGTTTACTGTTGGCTGCATTAAAGCTGATAATAGGAAGACATTCAATAAATAGTCCATACACTCTACTCATTATGGTGATTTCATTTTTTTTGCCTCTTTTTATTATAATAGTGTCATATGTAATTATTTTTTTTACTGCAATGAGCGTTAATCAGTCTCCAAACTTAAGAAAAGAAATTCGCGTGGCAAAAACAATTTCACTTATAATTGGTTTGTTTACCATATGTTGGATGCCGTTCTTTATTGTAAACATTTTATATTATTATTGCGGAGACTATACATCCACTAAGCTATGTAGTGTTATCAAATCTGAAAGTATAAGTACATGGATTGTTAATATTGTTGTTTCGCTTCGTATCAGTAACAGTATGATGAACTTTTTCGTGTACGCCGTACGTAGCCCAATTTTTCGAACCACATTTAAATCTCTTGTATTTAAAATGTTTCGTGTTGTGTGCAATATGAAAACAATTGAAGCAAAAAGCTTTTCTTTGTATAAAAATGGAAGCAAAAAAGGCTCACTGAACTTTTTTTTGAAAAAAGATAAAAAGCAAGACCAAAAAGAAACATTGTGGAAGCAAAAGAGTGTTGCCTAATTGAAAACTTTCCAAACATTATTGGAAACTATTCACAAAAGTATTTTATTAGTCTTTGTCTTTATTAACTGTATAATTAGTAATAAACTTATTTTTTATTGTTACAGACTAAAACATTCCGCTCAACTCAGTCCTAACTTATTTAATTTTTTTGCTTAGTCATGCTGAGATCCAGTGTTTAAACCTAATTTTTACTTTCTTTTTTTTTGCTAATTAGTTTCAATTATTCACTTAATCATAAATAATTGATTGAAACTCAAAAAAATTTGTTAAAACATAATTATTATAATTATGTTATAATAAAAGTTAATTATAATTACTTTTAATTTATTATCAATTTATTTCATGTTTAAAATCTTTTAAAAATAAATATTCAAAATTATAAATCATTTGTTGAGTAACAAATTAGTATCAATTATAAAAATGATTTTAACGTTAACAATATCAGTTAATTAAAACTAAATTAAATTATAAATAAATAAAGATTTCAAGATAAAATCGGGATGAAATTTATATTTAGATGGATGGATTTTTAACTTTCATATTTAAGGGAATGGATTTTTAACTTTTGTATGTCGTCAAGAAGTTTATAAATTTAAGCAATTTGTTAGCTTTTTTTATTATTACTATTTTTTTTTTTCGACAGTAAATTTTCGAAAAATGTGAATAAACTATGAACTTTTCAAAATATGAACTTTTTAAATATGATGACGATATGATATGAAAATCAAATTGTCATCATATTTGAAATTTTCATATCATATCGTCATTTTCATATCATATTTGAAAAGTTTATATCGTCATATTATTTGAAAATTTTCAAATATTTGTCACATTTTTCGAAAATTCACAGTCGAAAAAAAAAGGAATAATAAAAAAAGCTAATAAATTGCTTAAATTTATAAATTTCTTGACGACATATAAAAGTTAAAAATCCATTCCCCTAAATATAAAAGTTAAAAATCCATCCATCTAAATATAAATTTCATCCCGATTTTATCTTGAAATCTTTATTTATTTATAATTTAATTTAGTTTTAATTAACTGATGTGACAACTTTTCAAATATTTAAAATGATTCAAATATGATGACGTCATGACTGCTTGTTTCTTAAGAAATAGACTTAAGAAATCGAGATTTCATTTTTTTCATTTTTTTCATTTCTTTTATTTCAATTTATCTCAGTACCCGGTGTTAGAGTTTGATTCATCCGTTAGAGTATCCCAATCACTAACCTTGTCATCATTTTGTTCAGATAACTTACTTTGTTGCATCTTTTGAGAAACTTTTTCATTTTTATGGATGTTTGTTCGTGTACAACGTGGGTATAACGAGTTTTTTTGTTCAGTTGAACTAGTATTTAAAAGTTCACCATCGTGGAATCACTATTTGTTAAAAAAAGATGGAGCTATTGTTATCTTTGAAAATTATTGCATTTTTTTCAGCTAACAAAGATTTAGAGATTGTTTGAGTCTGGCCCAGTCTCCTTGTAATATTTTTTACTTTTATGATATAACTGTTTTTAGGGTTAACCCAGAGAGATCGAAAATTGTTTTATTTGCTTCGGACTTTAAAAGCTTTAAATGCTAAAAAACATTTTTTTCTTTTTTCTTTTTGATAAATCTAAAAATAGAAAAAAAATGCCTTTAAATACAGTTTTTCAAATATTTATTTGCAGATTCGGACGCCCCAAATCACCATAGAAACAAGTTTTTGTAAAAACTTGTCAAAGAGTTAACGTTCTTTATATATAACCCATTATTATAATTAATAGAAAATGTGTTTTAAAAAAATTTTTACTTTTTAAAATTGCAGTTTAGTTTGTTATTGATTTCACAAAATATTTTTGATTTATTTTAATCTTTTTTTTTGTGTGTGTAATCATTTTAAACTTTGTTAAGTTTAAAAAAATAATAATTCTAAAAAATTAATTATTACAAAATTTTATTCCAGATTCAGATTCATCGCTTTTTCTTCATAATTCATAAATTTTGAGAAAAATTAGTTGGCCGTAAAAAAATAAGGATTGTACTATAAAAAGTCAGGTTATTGTAGATTTACTACCAAACTTTATAACGTTTATAATATGTGAAAGTTTAGAAGGATTAGGAGAGGGTGTTTGTCTAGGTTTTAGAAAACGGGGCGATTGGGAGACGACAAACATCAAAAATAAATAAAAAAGCAAGTCTCTTTAAACTTTTATGAAAACAGCACTAGAGAAGGGATTATTTAATCCGACCAATTTTTATAAAAACACTGTTTTATTAGTTAACCTAAATCTACCAAAAATTACTTGCTATTGCGAGCTTCATAGTCATTCCCTCATTGCGAGCCTCATAGTCATTCCCTCATTGCGAGCCTCATAGTCATTCCCTCATTGCGAGCTTCATAGTCATTCCCTCATTGCGAGCCTCATAAGAGTAAAGTTTAGTAAGGTTAAGTTAGCTTGTAACGTTAGCTTACAATAATTAGATAAGAAAAACAAATAGAAAAAAAATTTGTTTGTCTACTTTTATTTGTTTTTGTCAGCTTCTTAAATACTAATATTGATTTGCTTTTAATTAATTTTGCCGGCTTTGTTTTTATTAAATATCCCCTTTGCTTTTATTATCTGCTTGTTTTAATTGTCATTTATCAATGGTTTTTTTTCAAACATTTTTTTATGAATATAGGCGTTGGGATTTTTTTTTTTTATATATATATATAAATAGGCATCTATTTGATTTTAAGTTCTTGCGCTCCCCCTTTAACCAACACCTTTCCGTTCCCTTTTTATATTTGATTTTGATTTTCTTGATATATATAAAAAAAAATTTATTTGAATTAAAAAAAAAACGTTGCACAAATAATTCTTAGAATTCAAAGCAAATACATTTTAATAATCAATAATTAAATAAGTTTTTGCTTCAAAATAAATTCAAGAAAATGTCGAGTAAACATATGTTGTCTCGAATTAGTCAGTCAATTAATAACGTCAATATGCAACAGATGTAATTATTTAAAAAAAAATCGACAATTAAAATATTACAAACCAATCGCTTTAGCTTAACTCATCCAAAAATTTACAAAAAATTATTAGAAAACAAATTTGATTCGATCTAGAACAACAACAAAAAAAATTACAAGTAAACATCAATGTTATAGAGATTAAAAAGGTTTGATTGTTTCATAACATTTTTTGAATGTTTCAAAACATTCTTTGAATGTTTCTTCATATTAAATTTGAATTATCAAATGTAGCAAAACCTTTTAGTTAGAAAATTTGTAAATAAAAGGGAGGGTCATACCCGATCGTCGTCGATTTAGCTCTGGATTGAGTACTTAATTCATTAAATACTTCTTTTTTGTCATTGTATCGAATATCGTAACTTTTATTGTTACTGACGCTTTTCAATATTTTCGGACATACGGATAGACAAACAGGAGCCGAAAAATCATTGCCACCTTATTTGTTTTTATTTAGATGTTTATATACTTTAAAGTTTTATATTTATTTAGAGAACACAAGTTATAATTTTTATATATAGCTGCAATTTTTATGTATAGTTGGAATTTTTATATATAGTTGCAATTTTTATATATAGTTGCAGTTTTTTTAAATATTGTATCAATGCTCATTTAATAATGTTAATAATAATAAATTTTTTTTTTTTCTAAACTTTATTCTAAACATTTGCAAACATAGCATTATGCTTATAAAAAATATGCTTATAAACATTATGTTTATTAAAATTATGCTTATAAAAATGCAAATTTTAGAAAAGTAGTTATATTTTTTATCTTTATTATATGAGTTTAATATTTGTGTAATATTTATTGTTAATATCAAGTTTAATGATTAAACATAAAACCAAATAAAAAGTTACTTACTATGCTATAGTTCTTAATCCTATTTTAAAAACTGTTAATGCTTTGATTTATATATAAAACTGTATGGTTCAGCGTAAAAACTGTTTATCCTTGAGGAAAAATCATATATATATATATATATATATATATATATATATATATATATATATATATATATATATATATATATATATATATATATATATATATATATATATATATATATATATATATATATATATATATATATATACATATATATTTATCTGCGTATAATTTATTTTATTATATTTATGTACGTCTACGCCCCTCTATTGAGAAGTAACCTAAAATTAACGACCAAAAAGTTTTTGATTACATATTATTTCAAGTATTACATATTTGAAAGAAAACTTTATTGTCTTTTACGATAAATAATTAAATTTGAATAAAAAACAAAACACGTCGATTTTTTTAAGTGATAAAATTTTCTTTTTGAGACTTTGACACTAAACTTTTAATCGATTAGATTTTAATCGTTTTAGGATTTTATCAATTACGATACTTTCTTGTTTTTTTTTTTAAACTAACAAAATAGAATAAAAACAAAAGCAAGGATAAAATAAAACAAAAAATTTAATTTATAACAAGTTTTTTATTTGAACAGCAACTGTTTTTTTTTATTTGGTTATTCTTTTTCTAAGCAAACTAATAAATGGACAACACAAAAAATTGCAATACTTCTGTATCAACAAATAATACTACCATGTTTGAAGTGTTATACCTAGGTCACATATCCATGCTAATCTTGGTTGGAAACATACTTGTAATACTGGCGTTTTTTAAAGGACCCAAAAGAATAAGAACTTTTACCAACTATTTTGTGGTCAACCTGGCATTGTGTGATCTCATGGTTGGTTGTGTTTCTGTACCATTTTGGATTTGTGTTCAGCTAGGTATGTAAAAAATTAATTATAAAAAAATAAAATTAAAAAAAAGTAAAATAAGAAAAAAAAAGTTATTTTTTTTGAATTGAAGGTTTAGTTTAGTTTTTATGCATGTAAAATTGCTAATAACTTTTAAAAAAGTTTAACGTTAAAAAAAAAATTGATTTAAAATATTAAATGATTTAAGTTACATTATAAAGGTGACATCATTATAATGGTCATTATAAAGGTGCTTATTGACATTATTATAAAGGTGCTTGTTGACATCGTTATAAAGGTGCTTGTTGATATCATTATAGAGGTTCTTGTTGACGTCATTATAAGGTGTTGACATCATTATAAGGTGTTTGTTAACATCATTATAGAGATGCTTCATGACATCAGTATTGATGAGTAAATAAAAAATAGTAAACAGTGGGTATGAAGTTCTATCAGAACTTGTAAAACTCAAATCAAGGTAAGAGTCGATGTGTTTTGTAAATGATTTGTAAATGATTTGTAAGCGCTTACATTACGTTGGAGCTTTTCTGACTAAATTGAATGAATTTAATAATAAGATAAAAATGGGAAAGAAGAAAAAAATCTTAATGCATATCTTGAGAAATTAAAAGCAGTAATACAAAAATAACTATTTAAAAAACTACCATTTATTTACAGCAACTTTAAATAAAAATTGATAAAAATTGAATAGTTTTACACCTTTAAAAACTGTTTTCCGAATAAACAATTACAATATCCACATTTATTCGTGCAAACCTTATCTTATTTATGCGGTAGTGGTGTAGTGGTAGAGCGCTCGCTTCATAAACGAGTGGTTCCGAGTTCGATCCCTACCACGTCCCTGGTAGTACCGCGCTTAACTCGTTTCTCCGCGCAGCGGCCTTGTTCGTCAAGGTTCGTGTTTCGGAGTTATAGAGTTGAGAGAGGGTTATAACCACAAATAAGTAGCCTCCTCGTCTGTAGTGGCCTTCTCGACCTTGAGGAGGTTAAAATAAAAAATAAATAAATAAAAAAAATCTGATAAATAAATGACACCGTTAATGCTAGATATCTTTTTTATCATGACAAATTCATTTTTACTTCAAATATTTTACCGATTCGCAGTTCGCTTTTTACTGACCACCCGACTTACCGACTAATGTTCGCATTTTACCGACTTATCAAATCAAAATTTCAACCCAAAACTTTCTAGAAACAAGTCCGGTATGCTTTCTTCAAACAAACTTGGTTTGCTTTCTATAAACAACCTGTCTGGTTTGCTTTGTCGTTTTATTAATTTTAAACTTAATATAATGAAACTATTCCTCGTTAATATCATTAAGAATTATTTGATTAATTATTTAAACTATTTTTTATTTTATTTACTTTTTGTTATTATTTTTCTTCTTCCTAAAAACTCTTTCTTTAGCTATTCAATACTTTGTTTCATTATTTAAAATTTAGTTTAAGTAAATTTTAACAGTATAAAGAATATTTTATTTTCATTTTACACATATTTATTTTATAAATTTATGAACTATTTAATGTAAAATACGTTATATATTACGTTAGTGGTGATTTGAGTATTATTGTCTAATTTTCGCCCTGGTCAGGTAATATATTAGGTATCAGATGATTGGACGTTGAATCAAATATGAACGATACGATATTAAACAACAGGATGTTTAACAATTAGATGTTAAATGAAAAAGTTTTGACCATATAGAGCGGTTAAAAAATTTTAATTCAAGACATGTTTATATGTTTTTGAGAAAAAGAGCAAGTTGAGTTTTCCGATAGTTTCTCCGACAGCTGTTTTTTTAATCTTTTTACCGACAGCTGTTTTTCGTTGTTGTGAAATGATATCAAAATATTTTTTTTTATCTTTTTTATTTTTAACTTTTGTTATCAATTTTTGTTGTTATCAAATTTCGGGATGAAGATTTAACTTTAGTAATTGAAATAAAATTATCTGCATATATTAATTGTAATTGTTTAAAGACTGAGTGACGTAATTTGAAATTCTAAGCCCCCCTCTAACGTTTTAAAAACCTCTAACTCCTTCAACATTTTAAAAATAGGCGTCTTATCCTTAATTTTAGCTACTCGTAACTTGAAAAATAATAATTTTTAGATTATCAAATAAGTTATTAAGATTAAATTTTGATGATATTAAAATTTTATTAAATGATATTAAAATTTTGCTTAACGCGGCTAAACCACTTAGGATTTTTTTACCCATAAAGTTCCATGGAGTTTGAAAAGTTAACTTTTAGCTGTAATCAGAATCGTTTACCATGGTTGTGTTGAAATATAGAAATTTACAATATTTACCAGGTTTACTAATTATGCCAGCTACATCTTTATCATTATTAACTAGACGTGGTAAATGCTTTGCTTGAGAATTTTACATTACTAATCACAGTTTACTAGCTTGTTAATATTTACAAAATAAATATCTATTATCTTCTTATATTTATATTCAAAATTATTAAAATTTCTTCTAAAATATTTTTCTGTTTGATAAGATGCTTAACCAGATTTTAAAATAAAAGTCAAGCCCCAAAAATTTTTTTTTTGCAGCGATTGAATTTTAATTTCTACAAGAGGATATTGTATAAAATATTAACTAATGAACTGAAAACAATTAGCCTAAAAAGTATACTCCCCCATTTTGATTCACTATAGGCTATATGAGTTTAAGACTATTATGACGGATATGGGTGACTTTTTCTGATGTATAACAAGTTGCTTCTGATAAACTTACGCAACGTTTTGTCATTATTAGCATAGCAGCAACATTTTGCAACAGCAACATTTTGCAACAGCAACATTTTGTCATTATCAGCATTTTTGTCATTATCAGCATTTTTGTCATTGCACTTAGGACGATCTTAGAAAAGATCATTTCACTTGTTGTTACTTCCATTTTTCTTTTATAAAAATTTATGCTTTATAAAAATTTTACCATGACGTCCAGATATGTTTAGGTATATTCTGGTTTAAAAGAAAAGCTTCAGAGTTATGCGTTTTGGCATATTGAAAATTATATTTAACAATATAGTTTTCAATATGCAAAATATTTTCTTAAGTAATACTTAAAAAAAAAGTTTTAAAAATTGTTTAACAAAGTTAAGGTTGGTCATTGGGACATAAATTACTTTTATTTTTAAAGTTTTTACAATAACGTTTTATATTACATAGTAATGCGAGTTCATAATTTTTGTTATTTTACATTTATGGTATAGACTAGGCGATAAGACAATTTATGTCTTCTTCTTCCCCCTGCTATTTATTTTTATTTCTAAGATTTATATTATGTTTTACGGTTTTAATAAATTTAAGGGTAAAAAAAATTTTATGGTTAATTTTAGGGTTAAATATAATTATAAAACTTTATGTTTTTTAACATGATAATTAAGATTGTGAAATAATTATTTATTTATTTTGAAATTAAGTTTTTTTGATTTTTAAAACATAAAAGCAACAACATAGAAAGGTTATTTTCTTATAATACTTTATTTTTGTTGTTGTTGTTGTTGTTGTTGTTGTTGTTGTTGTTGTTTTTGTTGTTGCCAATATAGTTGTTATTGTTATTTGTTATTAATTAAAAAATCATTTATTTTTATTTAATAGTCAAAAAATTCTATTGCATAAATATTATAGATAAACTTTCATTATTTTATATTTTTTTTATCATTTTTTACTATTTCATATTATTTTATAAATAACTTTTAAAAAGTTGTTAAAATTAAAACATTAATATAAAAATACTCTTAAGTCATTACTTTTCTCACAGTGTTTCATCTCTCTCTTACCTATAATAAAGTTTGTTTCATCTCTCTCTTACCTATAATAAAGTTTGTTTCATCTCTCTCTTACCTATAATAAAGTTTGTTTCATCTCTCTCTTACCTATAGTAAAGTTTGTTTTATCTCTCTCTTACCTATAATAAAGTTTGCTTTATCTCTCTCTTACCTATAATAAAGTTTGTTTCATCTCTCTCTTACCTATAATAAAGTTTGTTTCATCTCTCTCTTACCTATAATAAAGTTTGTTTCATCTCTCTCTTACCTATAATAAAGTTTGTTTCATCTCTCTCTTACCTATAATAAAGTTTGTTTCATCTCTCTCTTACCTATAATAAAGTTTGTTTCATCTCTCTCTTACCTATAATAAAGTTTGTTTCATCTCTCTCTTACCTATAATAAAGTTTGTTTCATCTCTCTCTTACCTATAATAAAGTTTGTTTTATCTCTCTCTTACCTATAATAAAGTTTGTTTCATCTCTCTCTTACCTATAATAAAGTTTGTTTCATCTCTCTCTCCTATAATAAATTTCTAATATATGAATTTAAAAACAATTAAAGTAACAATATAAAATAACGAATATTGTTTCAAATTCACAATTAAAATTAATTTGTTCACTAAGCTGTAGGTTTCTCTTCCCTACATTTTACAAACAGATTTTATTTAATTTTTATTATATTAATTATTTAATATGATTTTTTGTATTTTTCTTACTTTATAATTTACTTTTTTTTTTATTTTTTAATCTGTCTAATAATTGTTGTTAAAGACTGTTTTTTTATAAAAGTGTTTTGCTTGCTAGCCACATTTTATATTTTATTATGTTTTATCAAGATTGAAGAATTTTAAAAAATTCATCATTTCTATTTATCTTTTTTGTACTTTTAGGAATCGGAGAACGTTCAATTTGGCAACATTTAATTTCGCTTGATGTTCTGTTTGGAACAACTTCGATTCTTTCTTTAGCTTTAATAAGTTTAGAGCGTATGGTAGCCGTAAAATATCCGACACAACATTTTAATTTACCGAACAAACCGGTAATAGTAAGCATTTTTATGACTTGGCTGATTGGAAGCATTTATACCGCCATTGTTAGCGCTTTTTTAACTAGACATGAAAAAATAGTTACAATACTTATTTTTATGTTAGCGTTTGCACTGCCTTTAATAGTGATTCTAGTATCTTATTTAATTATTTTTTCCACGGCCTATGGAATGATAAAACCTGACAATAACGAAGATAGCATTCGATTATCACGTGACATTCGAATTGCAAAAACAATATCTGTGATCATTGGTCTTTTTACTATTTGTTGGTCACCTTTTTTTATAGTGAACATTGCTTATGTTTTCACCTCTTGCATGAATTGGAGTATTCCACTTCGAGTTTCTAAAATTTTGCACTATAGCAACAGTATGATGAACGTTTTTGTTTACGCAATACGAAGTCCCGATTTTCGTGAAATGTTTAAAAACCTGCTTTTAAGGTGCAACAAACGGGGAGTAAATGGAAGACTGAATTCTTTTTCTATAACATCAATAATTAGTCGTTCCAATTCTAAAAGTGTAATTCTGAGAACCGGAAGCTCAAAAATCTCTAATTCAAACGCGGAATTATCTTCGAACCTTTTGTTAAACAATGATGCGATGCATCAGAGCACAACAAATAAAACAAACCAATAGTTTAAATTATCATTTATTTTTGATTTACCAAACTAAAAAAGGTTTCAAAATTAGTCTTGACACGAGTTTTTATCAAAATACTTTTTTCAATCAAGTAATCAATCTTTGTTAACGAAATTAATCAACATCAAGACTTGTTAACGAAACTGTGCATGGTGTATGGTGCAAGGTGTATTATTTCACGACATAGTATAGAGTTAAAATTGGTAACAATAAATATTGAATCCTAATTAAAAATCCATAATAATAAACAAAAATGACCAGGGTTTGTGGAGTTGAGAATAATACTGCTAACGCAGAAATGGCGGAGAACGTACTTGGCTTATAAATTATCCCTAGTGACGATAAAGAAAATGGTTCACTGAATAAATAAAATACTTTTTTTGAAAGACCAATTTTTTCAAAGTAAAATGACTCATAAAAAAATGTGTATCTAGTATGTCACCCATAACGTATTGGTTTACTTCTTAAACTTTAATTTGTTAAAAATGTTACACAAAAGCTAAAAAAAGTTATTTTTTATGTAAATTTTGTCCCTTGAGTAATTTAACTCTATCTACTACGATGCTAAAAAATTGTTGATTAATTTTATCATTTATTCTCTTTATTAGAAATTTCTCATTAATTTAAAAAGAATTTTATTAAAAAAACATTAAAAGCTGTAAAAAAAAAAGAAAGGTAATGTAACTATTGCGAGTTACTGGGCAACTGGAAATAAAATTGTTAATTATCAGGTAACATCAAATAATCTCACTTGGTGCTGTTCATAATATCTAACATTAATATATATATATATATATATATTTTTATTTTTTTTATTTTTGCCGTTTAATAAATTATACAGTTTCGAAGCATATAAATAAAAATAAATATTGGCGAGGCAAGACGAAGACTTATTTAGCCTTACCACCGAGCCCCATTTTCACGTATTTACAAAAACCGTAATATTTAAATATCTATAGATAGTAAACTATATTTAAAAAAATAAAAAAGTAAAATAGATAACAATTTGTTATCTTTTAAAAAAAAATTTAAGGAAAGAGTAAGATCAAGTGAATAAGAAAAAATAAGATAATATCGTTAACTTAAAAATTTAAACTAAGATTTAAAAATAAAATTAAATAAATTAATATACACCATAGAAATAACATAGATAAATTAGTATACTTCATCGAAATAACGTAAACAAATCAGCAAACGCCATAGAGTTAATGTCATAGTTATGGTAATGTAAAAAAAAAAAGTTGATACACTCAGTGTATTAATTTTTTTTCTTTTTTTTTTTTTTTTTTTTTTTTGTATTTGAGTTTTAATTTAAAAAAAATAATTAAAATCGGATATATTAAAATCCATGAGTAAAAATTCATAATAAGAAAGAAATAAGTAATATGAAAATATTATAAAACAAAATATTATAAAATTGATTGATGTTAATGTTTCACGTAGGGATGACCGGGGAGACGTCGGACACAGGGGGAAAACGGACAATCCCTTTACTTTTTTCAATTCACCTCATTGGGAAGATTTCCATACTATTTGTTAATGATATTTTAATGATTGGTACATTGCAAATCCCTATGGACAGATATCAAAGTTTTTTAAATTTCAATTTGAGGTAGTTGCAAGTGCAAAAATACACAAACATTTTTGTTTTCTATAGTTAAATAACCGTCTACAGTGGTATTAAAGTTGTTTTATCAAGTATGAAGTAGGGTAAGGTGGGGCAAGAAGCCCACCATAAGCAATTTCGTCTTTTTTTTATTGATCCAATAAACGTATCTAGAAATTTATGTTACCATTATTTCAGATACATAATAAACTTAAGTATCTAAAGTTATTTTCTTAATGGCTACTCAAGTTTAAATGGAAATAAGCTTTTTATAAACTGCTATAGAGTGGGCCTCTTGCCCCATTGCTGGGGCAAAACGCCCCTACCCTGGGCCTTTTACCCCAAACGTTAATAGCTTGAAATATTCCTTTTTTACAATAAAAATTTATTGCAACAATACACTTTTTACTAGTCACAATATATTTGTGTGTAAAAATGTCCAACAAAAGTTTTAGTAGAACACTTTGCACCATAATATTAGCAAGTAGCACCATACATGCTATCATATGACAATGGCAAACAGCACCAAAAATTAATAGAGCTAAAAAGAGCTAAAAATTTATAGACTAAAAAGATAGCTATAAAAACTAATTTATAGAGCTGAAAAACACAGCTAAAAGCTAATTCATAGAGCTTAAAAGTTGCTAAAAAAAACTAATTCATAGAGCTAAAAAGATATCTAAAAAAATAATTCATAACCCAAAAAGACAGCTAAAAAACTAATTCATACAGCTAAAAAGACAGCTAAAAAACTACAGTAAGACTAGTTGAATTGATTATGCCTATTGGCAGTGAAAGCAGACAGCAGTGTCATCAGGACCACAGCCGTCGTGGTACCAGTTGAGACATTCTGGGCATTGCTGCCAGTCATCAATGGGTGGTTCGTTAAATCTTTTACCACACATGCAACATGGCGTATCATCACTGTTAGTAACAGAACCTACACATCTTCGTTCTTTTGACCCTTTTCTTATCACGTTAGCATTCAATGCGTTACTTTTGATTGTCCTTTTTGAATTTGTTCTCGCATATTGCTACCTTTTCCCGGTTTCTTTGTCATCTCCACTTTTCGTTCTCTTGGATTTGTCTGCGATTACATCAATTTCGTCTTCATCATTTTCCTCATTATTATTTTCAACTACTACTTGCTTGTTCTGTTTTGTCTTCTTTGCATTTGCTTCAATTAACATTGCTTTTAAGGACTAGAAGTTATTACAGTTGCTGCTTCGGTTTTTCGTTTGTGACTGCGTACATTCTTTTTCTATGGAATAGGGCTTAGTTCTGATATAATCTGTAATGCTTCGGATAAACCAGGATGATTAGCTGTTTTATCTAGTTGATTTTCATCGGACTCATTGCTATCTCCTGTTGCAATCCTATCAGTCTCCATCACATTAACCAATGCTTCATCATCCACCGCATTGCCGGCTTCTTCATTTGTATTCGTAGGTTCACTTGTTTCGTTTCTAGCTAATAATGCTCTTTCCATCATCTGGATGTGTTTAACAAGATCTTGTTCAATTTCAATAGAAAAAGTATTCACATAATTTCCTAATTTATTGCTCCCAACTTGTCTTACTTTGCCCTGCTAATGCCTTCTCAATGTCTTCCTTGAAACTCCAAAACTGTTTTCAGCTTTACGCAAAGACATACCATTTTTTACTAAATCTAAAGCCCGTTGTAAACCTTCTGCTCCATAACTTCCTCTTTTTATCTTCCTTTTGTAATTTCTAACCATATCTATAAATAAAATAAAGTTAAAATTTGAACATTCTACTTAAATAATGCAAGGGGTAAAAAGCTCAGGATGGGCCTTTTGCCCCATTAACGAACTGGGCTTTTTGCCCCAAAATGGTCGGTGCAAAAATTGATAAAAACATATTATTCTATGGTACAATGAACGTTATGTAAATAATCAATACATAATTTGTACGCTTACAAATACATAAACTCATTTAAATAATCAACTAATTTTAACAATAATCTACAAAAAATTTTTAAAATTACGCAAAAAATCAAAATGTCCTATTCTTATTACCAGTCAAGTTTTCAATATTCTGTTAAAAATTATATTTCTACTAAAAGTTCACCAAAATTCGCTCGCAACACTGTTACACATTTATCATTCATACTACAAAACAATAATTATAATATTTTACCTAGGTTCTTTATAACTGCAGGATGGGCCTTTTACCCCACCTGGGCCTCTTGCCCCACCCTACCCTACTAGTAAATTTTTTTTACGGTGACAGGATTATTTAATGTTCTAGGTTTTATACTATTAAATATTATTTTGTTATATAGGTACGGTTTAAAATAAAGTATCGCTAGAATTTGAAATTGTTTTAGTTCTTTTAATGTTTACATCGTTTATTTTTGTTAAGGCAGTATAATTGATTTTTTGTTTTTTAAAATGAAACATGATGTTCTTTTTGTCTTATTATATTTTGCATTTTTTTGTATTTAGTGTTAACTTAACTAACTTCCAAATGTTCAAACCTTCCAGTGGTTCGTTGTTCATACATTCGTAAAGGCTTTTAATTAAGTTCGAGGAGTAAAACAAGTTTGTGTTGTTAGCAAAAGCTATTACATCATGTTTGTCGGCAAACGTTATTCATCTTGTTTATCAAGATATTTGTAATGTCAATAATATATAATAAAAATAGTAGGGTTCCACGAATATTTAAGAATAGCCGTAGAAAAGGGTTCATATATCTACTGATTGAGGGAGAATATGCAACATATATTGTACATGACTGAGGGAGAATATGCAACGAGTGTGTATTAGGATTAGGATTTTTTGTTAGGTAGTAGGAATAAATAAACATTTTAACACTGATTAAGAAAATCTATATTAATATTATAATAAATATTTATATTAACATTATAATAAATTTTTATTAATATTATAATAAATTTTTATTAATATTATAATAAATTTTTATTAATATTTTAATAAATTTTTATTAATATTATAATAAATTTTTATTAATATTATAATAAATTTTTATTAATATTATAATAAATTTTTATTAATATTATAATAAATATTTTTCTCCAAAAGTAAATCAAGTTGATTCTCAATAAAAATTTCATAGAAAGTTTAAAAGATTTAAAGCTTTTAAATAAAAATGAGTTTTTTAAAATTTGTTGTAAAAAAACATTTATAAACAAATTATTGAAAATAATTTGTTTATAAATTTGTTGTTTGGCACTCTTTAAGACGTTTTTTTACCAATATCTTTCAATAAGATTCATCTTTCATTTTTATGAATGAAATTTTGTTTTGTGAAGCATCATTTTGAAAAAAAAGCGTTTTTTGATGGTTTTTTATATTAGTTTGAGTGTTTTTTATATTACTTAAATTTAGATACTTAAAATCAGTACTTATATACTTAAAATTAGTAGTACTTAGAGACTTAAAATTAGTAATTTAACCAAAGGCGTTGGTGAACGGACGTTGGTGAACGGACATGTTTTACTACAAATAAGAAGTTTATTAAAAGTTCGAGTAAAAACAAAATTCAATTAAAATATTATTAAATAACATGTTAAATGTTTAACCAATCGAGTTTAATGTATATAAAGCTGATCGAGATAAATTAATAAAAAAACTAATCAAAACAATAGATAAGTTGAAAAATTGCAATTTACTGTTAACTCAAAGACTAAATGTTCTAGAGAAAGCTAAAGTTGTACCTTCCACATCTATATCGTGCGATAGAGTCGTAAGTGGAAATACGCTACCTAAAAGATCAACCGAACAACTTCATTTAATGAACACTGTTGTTGCCGAGGCAAAAGAAAGAGACGGAAAAGTAACGTTTTGTCAAGCGCTTGAAAAGAAGATAAAAAATCTATTCTCGACATGATGATCTCTATTAATGCAAAGATCGAAATTAAACAAATAATAAAGTTG